AACGATTAGGGTCAGCAAGATGCACAAGAAACAAAAGGGCGAGAGTGAAACTGGTCTTGGCGAGAGAACAAAAGGCAGCGCGGAATTGAGGAGAGGCGGGCAGCGAAAGAACCAGCTGCGCGGGATATGACACAAAAAAAAAGTCAAAGATTTCAAAGAAGACTTGTCTCCGCGATGGGTAAGGGCGAGGGACGCTCTCAATACAGCGGGGACGTGGAGAATCGTCTCATCTCCTTCAAGGTCCAAGGAAATAGCGAAGAAGTTGTCGACACACGTTAGCAGGGTTTAGCAGGGCCAGAGGCCCTGCTACTTGTAAATTGGGGATGCAAGCACAAAGTACACTGCGTACTCTGCCCTGACTTCCCTTCCCATCCCATGCCAAGCAGAGAGCGTTCCGCTGAGCTGGGTGCACTGGGGTAATACAATATGCCGCATTGGTATAGAATATTGCCGCCTCGCACCGGGTAGGGACAGTAACAGCGGCGCAGTGGCTGCAAATGTTCACCACTCTGTAGGAAGATCGGTTGCATCACCACTGTTCAGGAGTAAACATTGGGTTTCCAAAGAAACGATATATTTTGAACTAATCTGAACAAGTCGAGTACGCTCGAGAGTAGCAGCCAGCTGCTTTTCTTGTGCAATGTATGAGGAAATGGACGACGGATTGAGGAGAGGCGTCAGAGAAGTCGCTCGCCCCAGCGCTGCTAGCGGACTCCGCCAATTTGTCTGGTTCGGCCACAAACTCTGAATCTGAATCTGAAGCATCGGATGCTTTGCTCTATGAGATGAGGATGGCATCAGGGATATTCTCGTTCTTAAGACAGAAGAGGTACATACCTCCACTCCTTGGGTAGTGCTGCACAGGAAGGTCCAACTCCCTTGGAAAAACTCATACGGTGATTCGTTGATATGCTTCATGATAGGATCCCAGTTCAAGTTGACAGGACCTTCAGCCATCGCAGTGTCCACAGAACTTTTTTTCGAAAGACGCGATTAGCACCGACTCGATGTAGAAAGAAAATCAACTCACTCTAGCCAATTTTTGACATTGTCCGTTGACGAGCTTTGAGATTAAGTGGATATGCAACGGTAGCTTGGTAAAATTCTTGAAAATCAAACACAGATCAAATTGCTTGAGACTGTACTGCACACGCTCAAGTGAAGCAATCTCTATGTCAGACAGAGTGACAAACAAAAATAGAGGATCCGTGAGATGAATTAAGCAGTCTGTCGTAGGCTAGTCGAACGGAAGTACGGAAGTACGGAAGGGGACACCTTCGAAAGCCAGTTCTCAGAAAAGAATGTCAAGCTCCAGTGTTTCTCCATTCTGCGGAATCTCAAATGAGATGAAGCAGTGTGCAAGTGAGGGCATGCGACTTACAGATGAGGAAGCGGCTTCTGCGGTCGCCTTAATTTCCTTGTGTAAGATTTACCTTCGCTTCTGTTCTTGGTGCTACATCTCAATTTCATCCTCGTCATTGGTATTTATGCTTCCTGTTTTGTCAAATTGAACATCTGTAGCCTCACGGAAGAGTTGGACATCCTGGAACAAAGGTAAGCTATACATAACATAACAGAAAAAATGTAGCTGACAAATGTTTTCTTCTTGTTGACAAGAATTGGGGATCTAAGGTGCACATGAACAATGACGAGGCTGAAAGAAAAGGTGTTTGATATTGTTGAGTAGCACATCTACACCGTATTAAGTTAATAACGTCAAGCGATATTTCAAGGCAAGTACTCACTGACTTTCTGACCCATTGGAGATTGGTATTGAACACTGTTCCGATGGATTTCTACTTCGCCCGGAAGCCTTTTACCATCTGGAGCAGACAACAAGCAATTCTTGCTCAATAACATCGATCACTTCCTTCTTCTGCGCCTCCCGTTCGTTTACATCCCTTTTCAGCGCGTTGATTTGTTTATTGATCGAGTCAAAATGATGTCCATCCGTTGAACGGTATGAGATTGACCAAACAAAGGGAGCATCGGGATCTTCAACGGCTACATTTAAAGGTACTTATTACTTACCAATGACTTGACCCGGCGTCTGGAAATAGATTCGAAGGTAGGTAAAATCACCTTCGCTGGATCGTCCTCTGCAAGTAAAACATTTTAGTCAGATTTTTCAGGCGGATGGATACAAGATTCGAACCTGTGCGGATGGCAGTAGCTTGTGCAACAATTCGGCTCAACGGCTTCAAATTCCACAGCACGCATTCCTTCTCGCACAAGGAAAGTGTTGCCATTGTGAACGGGACTATAGGCTTTTGCAAAATTAGTTAAAAATGATTGTTGAAGTGAATACAGCAACGTGCATTCACGAAAGTATGGCTTCGAGTACACGTCGAAGAATTTTATGCTCAACCTCTCAATAGAGCCGTCGAAAAGTAAGATATGCACACGCTTCCCGTGTTTGATAACTAGCATAAAGTTGATTCCATTTAGGAGACACCGAATCTCCCACTTCTTGTAGGTTGCGACCATCATGTCCACCTGTGAGCCAAAGACTCATATGAGATTTAAGATTGTCGGAGCCTCTAGTCTATTCCGATAAAGCGTTTAAAGGGGAGAAAAGTACTGGTAATTGCGTCAGCTAGGGCGATGGTAATAAGAAAAGAAATTGTACGCACCTACTAACAAACACTTTTTGCAACATCTATGAGGGAGAAGCACTGGAAGGCGGTGTAACATCCACATTGACAGAGCGCACTAAAGAAGGATGGAGCTTTTCAGCGATAATGGAGCACAAAAGCAAGAAATACGTACCAAGTCTTGCAGTAGACTCTATTTTTATTTTCATCGGTGAACGGTTTGAAGCAAGATACAAAACCCAGTGCTTGTTAGTCGTAAGCACGTGATCTATTAACGAGCCCTATCGATGAAAGCCACAACTATGAATTATTTTCTTTTTCATGTTGAATCATTGTTCTTATGCTTGTCACGCCGCAAACGCACTGCAACATATGTTTTTAAAACTCCTGATACCTTCGAATTTGGGTCTACTATAAATATGGCACTGCGAGTGCTGATCACAGCTCAAGTCATAGCTACGCATTGGCTACGCATCCAGGCAAGTATTTAGCGTGATATGGGGCCCCGGCAGTTCCTAAATGGGACCACATTGGTTATACTACCGCTACCACTACCAATACCGTCAGCAAAATGTACAAAGAAAAATAGAACTATAACAGACCCAGTCATCATCCCGCACGAATTCTAATAGCACTACTCGCAAACCTTCACGTCTATCCAAATTCTCTAACGGCTCATAAACTTCGCGATCAACTGTGCCGAGCGGAAACTTGAGAATAACAGACTGTATGCAGCCTTGTCCCCTTGACATTGCTGCAGACCGCTCTGAACCCAGTGGAAACCAGCGTGATTGAACCATTGAAACGAGTTCAGAGTGGCTGCAACAGCTATCAGAAGACAGGTAGAGACTGTGTAGTTTCGGAACAAGGGAGATATCATCCCAAACAGTGAGCGCTGACATCAGCTTTAAAGTGACTGGACTTTGTCTCTGATGATTGCGGTAAATTGTGGCAGCGTCCTCAATTTCGAGGGAAGTTAGAGATGGCATGAGATGGAGGGTTCGTAGAAGGTTATCATCAGTTAGAGATATCCTTTTGATAACAAATGCAGTGATCATGCATTCTGATCTTGACACGAAGGATTCAAATGCCTCGGTTGACCACTCCTTGCCACCATCAACCACGAGCTCGGCCAGAGAAGGAAAATTGAAGGAGAGAAATAAAGCCTCTAGTGAGACTATATCTCTTGTAGCAAGTGAAGTGATGTTGGGGTATTTGCTGGCTTTCTCAAGTCTGATAGAGTCTTCTATGAAACTGATCTCGAGAAAAGTCAGAGAAATGCAGCAATCCAGAACTTTCTTCAATGTTTCCAGGGACTCTAAGTGTCCGTCGACACAAAATTTTGTAATCTTTTGGCAGATGATGGTGGGGATTGGCAGTAGAGACGTTGGTTCAACAAAACCCCGAACTGTACAAAGTTTCGGGGAAGTTTCGAACCGACAAAGATTGGCGGCACTGGCACCTTTTCCACCACTGATATCCAGCTCAACAAGAAGGGGAAATTCAAGGCCAGAGAGTATATTATAACCAGAGATTGAATTATCTCCAGTGTATCTGAACATCTTCCAACGATGACTTTTGTTTGTGAGCATAGTTAGGCCAGGAAAGGTAAGAGGGCCATGCCAGTGAAGGGGCTGTGTACCCTTTGCAAGCAACATTATGTTTAACGGAACCTGATGAGATTTCTCCAGAAACCCGATGATCCTATCTGAAAAGCTAGCCACTGAACGTTCAGGCGCTCCCCAGTTTTCCGGCCTAGAAATGGTTGTCTCTACTGTTAAGTTGGACCAGAGTTTTGGTAATCCTTTTACGATTCTGTACCAACGATGACAAACGGAACCTATCGCGATGGCAGGGAGAGAGGTGTAGCAGTGGCTCTTCAGATAATTTTCTGCGCATGCGTACTCCATAATTATCGCTAATATTTCGTCTGGCATCATCCAAAAGGGAGATGGCAAAAATTTGATTTTTTCTCTCTGCTTTCGCGGTATCTCCATTTCATGGCCAAGGTTACGTCGGTCAGAAAACAGAACCTCGATTTGAGCATCAAGTTTCTCCATCTGAGCCTCGACGATTTTGATGTCTTCATCCATCACATTCGATACCAGTTGAATTACTTTTTGCGCCTCTGAAACGACAGAGGGGCCCGAGAAAGATCGAAGCTGTTCATTTATGTCTTTATCGTCAAGCTTTAAACAAGCTCTGTGAGCTAAGTGCCGTCATGGGTTGAAACAAATGAGCGCTCAAGGGTGAGAAATAGCATTCTCTTTAACATTGTATTACAACTCCAGTACACTTGCCTGTTGTCCTTGAAAAAATGCAACCTTGACCACGAAGCCCTTGAGAATCCCTTGAGAAACCCAAAAAAGATCTATGTTGAAAGTAATTTGAAAAAAAAAAAAGGAATGGTCCAACCAGGACTCGAACCTGGGCCTCACGGGACAGCCTTCCGCCGTCCACTACCGCCATGCGCGCTAACCACTACACCATTGGACCGATGTAATTATTTCTTTTGCAGAGATATTTGACTGCTCTGAAGCCAACGAAAAAATTGATACCAACACGATTACTTTTTAGCGTACTGATTACGAAGGTCTTCCCATATAGAGAACATCTGAAGCCCATTTCCCCACCTGGCTTTTCGATCCTCCTCTCTCTTCATCTTCATCTCAGGCGTCGCAGCTGCCATGAAGTCTTTATCGGACTGGAAGCCGTTGTAAACCCAACGAAAAAGACCTGAAGATGAATACTGAATAATTGAGTAATGTTCTTCTCCAGGTTGAATGGGCACATTCGAGTGGGTCAGCAGTGCGGAGGGAATGAGAATCGTAGATCCAGGAGGAAAGCGTATGACAAGACCAAGGTCCCAGAGAATCATATGCCCGCCGCAATCTGGATCAAAGTTACCTAGAGCAGTGATAGCACACCATCCAAAAGCAAGGTTGTGGCAGTCAGTATGAGGCCAGGTGACTGTACATGGGCCGAGGTTAAAGGAAACGCCTGCGAAAACACCGTTGAACCATCGAGTAAGTCTAGGATTGGAAGCAAAAAGGTTGTTGAGGTTTTCGTTGTACAATCCAAAGGTATTCGCCGCAAAGCATTGGAAGATGGCTATAGAAGAAAACAATTAGAAATTAAATATCAATAAAAGGAGGGAGTAGCTTACAGTTTGCAAACCCAACAAGACGACGGAAGCCAGAAGACGCAATAAGGCTGACAAGGATGGCACGATTGGCTACACCATAGAAAGCCATTGTACCAGGTCTCTGCGGTTGAAAAATTAGCTGGGGATGGGATGGAGAATCAGCGCCTATACCTTACTACCCCCGCCAAACAATGTACCTACAGCAACCGAAGGAAACTTCCCTCTTTTATGAGCTTCCTGTTTCTTACTGAATGTCATACTGCCACGAGCATCTTTGATTTGGGCCGTAAGTTCGGTCATAACTGCATCCCAATTATCATCCCTAGGTTTGCCGGCAAGAACTGCGATGATACGGCCTGCTTTATCTACAACAACATAACAATCCCTAGAGCAGTTTGTGCTGCGTAAGCAAATAAAACAAATTCGAAGGAATGGACCCACTCACTTTCCATTCCATGGAACAAGCTCCAGCTTATATTCCTCACCAGTAAGCGCAGCAACGTCTGCAAGTATTTTCTCAAAGATTTGCCTGAGCCCCGACCATGCACCCTTGTTGACAGGAAGGTCTTCAGTGGAAAAAGAATCGCCGGCGCTGAGGGTTTGCGCCTCTGCAGCACGACGGCGTGCAACCTCTTTCAGAGCCTTCTGCAGAAGAGGTTGGGCCGGCTGATCAACCTTTCATTTAACGCTTCGCTGCTCATGCTTTCTTTGGGTTTTTCTCTTCCTTCAAGCTGCCTTCCCTTGATCCAGAGGCAGCTGAGCAGCATCCCCTCAAGGAGGCTTCTGCGGGTCAGGCGCTGGTGCTTTTAGGGCATCGCCATTAATGGTAGCTCGGGGCATTAATGGTAAGGAGGTAGAAGAAGAAAGAAAAAAGGCAAAGCAGCAATCCGCCAGGCCACAAAGACGAGCCCTCGGGGTATGCTTGCAGTGCGGGTAAGGTAGTAGCAAAGACAAATGAAACAACAGGAGATGGTATTACATTGGGTCGTCATCCCGCGGGCCTGAATGTTAAGGAGAGAAAGTATAAGCAGAAGTACCAGATGTAAGCGCATAGCGCAACCTGAACGTTGAAGGGAAGCGGTAACTCCCGCGACAAATAGGAATTTATTATTGTGCATCACGTGGTATGTGCATGAGCGCTCAGCGTTGACGTTAACCAAGTTTCAAAAGCTTTCTTATAACGGCAAGATCAATACTTCTCCCAACCGACCGCTGTCTCAGTGAAATTAACAATCTCTTCATCTGCGACATCCCTGATTTGTCTAAAGATTTATGTATTTCCGGCCAGGAGTCGGAGGTCAAATGATGACAAGATAAGTATCGAACTACGACAACCAAGCGACCAAATTGCAGCGTTTACAACGAGTGTTTTTAACCATCGCGTCTTCGGCTAGAAGGGCAAAAGGAGGGAGCCTATAATTCATACAACTCCTAGACCCAGCGACTCAGCGGCTGAGAGTTCCGAGCGGTTGTTGATCCCTTCACAAGTCAAGCAGAGAGCGCTCTCAGATTCCTGTCGCGGAAACACTGGATACACAGCTGGAGTTGTCTGGAGGCTCGGCAGGAGGATCCCCTCATCCACATTGACAGAGCGTACCGGTGAATCCATGTCTACATCTAAAGCTTTTCAGCGATAAGCGAAAGCTAAAGCAATAAAGATGTCAAATGTGCGAAAGCTTACTGTAAGCCTGGGCTTACCACAGTTTCTATAATGTGCATATATAGTGGCCAGTGACATTCAAAGTCACCGGCCACTATATATGCACATTATAGAAACTTGGTAAGCCCAGGCTTACACTTATCAGTGACAAAAAATCTCTTTCAGTTTCCAGGAAGGCCAGCGATTGGTTGAAATCAGGTTCAGAAGTGTAAAGATCTGCTCTGCGGGGCCCGTGCAGGCAAGGTGGAAAGAGATGGCTGTCAGTGTCATGATGATGGTCGACGACTGGAAATGGCAGTGAAATTGAAAGAGTCCGAAATCACGTGAAAATTATGTTGTTATAAGCTTTCGTGAGGAGAAGGAGAATATGACACGCGTCGGACAGTACGCAAAGCAACTCATCTTCCAGTATAACATAGCCATTTCATAGCTCACAAAGAAAATTACTTTGAGTCACTGCCAAAAGAAATCAAAATACGAGGCCATAAGTCCTGGTTGACGGTACGGTCCAACCAGGACTTGAACCTGGATCTCACGGAGGTCTATCATCAAGCCATCGTGCATGTTAACCTCTACGCTATTGGACCTTGGTAGTACTTCTCTACATTAGTACTAATAAGATCATAATCATGTTAGGGTAGAATTAGATAGTAGCTGTAACAGCTAGTCTTTACGGGCATTGGCTAGTACCATCCCTGCGTTGGCCTTGTAGTTTACCTTCTTTACCGGAGTCGAGCTCGCCGCCTGCGTCGGCGTAGGGACCTGTATGGGACTGGCACTTTCAGCTGGCATGGGCTGTGTAATATCGTATTACAGTCCAAAGGAAGCTCCATTCATCCCCAACAATGTGCAAAGTGCATGCGTAGCTTCACCTGGTGCACATGCTGCAGTAGTAATAACTGGCACGTTGCTAGGAAGACTACCTTTAACAACAAGTTTAACGAAGGCTCCAATCTCCTCAAATTGAGGGCGGAAACTGGTAAAGCCCCAAGTTCATATAAGATGTGCTTCGTCAACGGGGAATAGGATGAGAAAGTCTTGTCATTGATGATACAGTACCATTCAGCCGACGCGAGATGTCACGATCAAGCAAATGATATTCCACGATTTACAAAGGCAGATTAATCACTACTTATTTGAAATGTGCTGATGGGGGAGTGGTTAGGGTGTCCAATTTAGGGTCCGAGTACTTGTTGTCGCCAGGTCTACCGTTCTTGCTTAAACAAGACACCGCGCATGGGAAGCCGCTTTCCGGCACTGTACAGCGCCGGGAGCCGCTAGGCTGGAGTCACTCGAAACGGCTGCATAGTGCCTGAGCCGTTTTGAGTGGCTCCAGCTCACTTACATTTTACTAATGCACTATAAGTCTGTATATGTGTATTTACAGTATTTCTCCAAAAAAATACAATATACCAACACTAGTATTCTAGCTAGTAGCAAAATATACGAAGAAAAGATAAAGAAAAGACGAGATGGAAAGGCAACAGACTTGTAAAGTGTAAAGTCCAGAAACCAGCCCAATCAAGAGCCCAATCTATCGACAGGGAATTTGAGTGTGAAAGTCTGCATACATGATCCTCACGCGCTTGCTTGACCGCTCCAAACTTCTAGGTCTGGACCAAGGTAACAGCAGCGCAGTCATTGAATTTAGCGACAGTTCGAGGACTCTGTAGGTTTGAAACAATGGGATCGGAGTGGAAGTTGATAATCAATATATCGTCTGATATGTATATTTACTCTGAAAATTATTCACAAAAAATGCTGGACACTTATCCAGTATATTGTCTGAAGTCCAGCCGTTTCCTTCCCAATCACTCGAGCTTGGTACAAGCATACAACTCTGTCTAATATCTGACAATGGAATGATTTCACCTTGAGGAGTGCCATTCGAGGCACTGACTGATGGTTGTACGCGATACATTCCATTTTTACTATCAGGTACACTTTTAAATTGAGAAAACCATGTAACATATGCAAGAGGTGTTTCAGCCTTGGGCCAGTTTGGGGGAGCGTCCTCTTCAGATCTTTGCCCAAGTCTTTTTACCACGTTAGGGAGCCGGAATATGACCCTAAGTCTGGCAACCCTACAGCCTCTTACTGCCGTAGATTCAGCTTCATCATTGATCAATATTATCACTGTATCATATCGAGACTTTGACTTTGACTTGGAGTTTTTTTTGATGGAAGAAGGGGCAGTTCTTACTATTTCTTTTGGCACATCTGACGCATCATCAAACAGATTCACACGTGTAAATTTAAAATGGTGCCAAACATCAAGTAAAGTAAAAGAAAGACATCCTATTGATAAAGCTTCTGCTTTCGTAACCTGTCCTTCTTTTGGAAGAAGAGAGTTTAGATAAAGCTTCAATGCCGGTATAAAACCAGGTGCATTATGAGAATTTGCAATTGCATTAAGACTTTTTTTTGTCTCCTGTGGGTGTTTAGCTATTCAGATGTTGGTCTGCAGCAATGTTTTGGTATTAGCATTACTAGTACTGGCAGGAGTAGCAGTGGCGGCTCTTTGATCACTGTTTGGAATCTGTCTCTTTTTCAACCCAAGTTTGGCAACATCAAGCTTCAGAGTAATATCATTTTTCTGTGCACCCTGATTGGTACTAGTAGAATTAATCCAGTTTCTATAGAAATCAAATGACAATATTTTTTCTTGTCTTGAAAGCCACTGGGTCATCTGAGGGAAGTGATCGCGTTTATTGGTGGCATCCCAGGCTTCTTTTGCCATGTCTATATGGAAACACTCAAATGCTTCTGTGTTGTAGTTATCAGTTGTGCCAAGCCACTTGATGGAATTTACATAATGAAGCAGAGAATGGAATTTGGGAATGTTGATTTGATCTTTGGTAGTCTGTTGTTCGACAAAGTAAGCCTTATTTTTGTGCCAGACATTTAGTTCTAAATCCATATAGCCAAGGGTATCCTCATCATGTGAAGGATACTGAGCAAGGTGTATGAAATTCAACAAGGCTTTGCAAGCTACAATTCCCCTTTGGTCAACTTTGCCTGTTAGAGATGCAAGGAGGATACGTGCTATGTGCTTATGCTCAGTTCCAGTTACCTGGCTGAAATCTGCTATCCCCTTTTTGAAATGACATACTCCACATGTAGGCGGTAGGACTTGGAATCACTCATCAAGTTCATTTTCACCTACAATTTCTTGCACCCATTTAAGTAGATGCTTGAATACTCCCTGATAACACTGGTGGAGAATATCAGGGGTGATGCAATCATGAATGTCCGTTAGAGGAAAGTCTTTCCAAAAAGGTTCAATTCCCCCAGCAACATTGTGCTTCATAGCAAGGGTATGTGCGCAACTCTTACTTATTCACATGGATTTGAATCTTGGCCCGGAGTAGCCTTCTGATTAGCTACTGAAGTATCATGAGCTTCTTTCATTATTCCTAGGGTCCATAACACCGTCTGAGAATCCCCAGCACTGGCAAGACCCAAGTCATTTGCCTTTCGCTGGCACTTTAGACAGGTGCCATACTTTGTGCATGTTACGAGACATTGTTTGGGATAGTCTGCAACATATGTACAGAGCAGAGGATAGACTTTCCTCACATTGCCATCGCCTCCAACCATTTCTATCCCCCCTGTTTTTAGATTTCCAGCAGATTTTAATGGTTCCAGCACATGAGCCATAGAACAATGAAAAATTTCATATGTTTGTAATTTAAGATCTTTTTTTTGTAAGGCCTTGTTTATTCGGCTTATTGACCAAGAGATAAGCAATAAGGACACATGCCCAGGCACTGGGCTTCCTCCTTAAAGCCTTGGGCAAATTGCCAATTGTGAGATATACCGGGTACACCGATTTGTTCCCTGAGAATCTGGTCAGATTATCAGAGGCTATAATCACAGGGCAGACTGTCCCTCCAACTGGAATCGCATGCTAGGTTTTGAATTGAGATTTGCAAGAAGTGGCAGCCGACGGATAAGTTCAATTACACACCTGCACTGCATTCCAAAAACCCGTAGTCCACATCTCAGAGTAGATACAATTGTTTTCAGTCTGTTCTGCCCCACGAAAAAGCTTTTGTGGTTTGTACACCAAGTGTTCAGCAAAGGCAGGATCACCCCAGAGCGCTTTGATTGCTTCAACTGAGTCCCGATGATACACAGTAAAATGTTCACCAGGTTTATCATGGAATGATAATTGTTTAGTCCACCATTTTCCACATCTCTCGGGGATTTCATCAATGCACTTTAGCATACCTCGGGATTTTTCATAAGATAGACCTAATTTTTGCTGTACCTATGAGATTTGAAAAGTCAACAACCTTGAATACTACTACAGCTTCTCAGTGACTACTGCCACTGGAGCGAGTCATCAAAAAATATTTGAAAGACTTTACCTGAGGAACTTTAAGCAGGCGATCAAGAGCTTTTTGAGAAATCTTTTCTGTGACTGCCCACTGTGCAATTTCCCAATCCAACTGGGAAGCAAAAGGGTGATAGCACTTCTGATCAAGATTATCATCATGAGTAGTAGTACCACTACTAAGTTCCTGTTGCCCTTTCGATTTTAAAATACTTTCCCATCATTCATAGACAGTTTTACGTTTGTTGATCACCTTACCAGCAGTATCATTCCATTGCCAAGTTCTTGGTCTTTGTCATCAACACTGTTGAGGATGCCGGCTAATTGAAACGTCTTGGAGATGAAGAAGCCTCAGACTCTCCTGAGGCCTTGGGGTCAGAAGAGGTGTTCATATCTGAGTCATGGTCTATCATAGAAGAGGCCCCAGTATCCAAATTAGAGGAGCCAGTTTCAGAAACCTCTCCCATATCAATGTCTTTGGATGGATATGTGAGATCAGAGTGGATGCCACTTGTTGAGTAATCGGGGAAGTTTGGGCTAGCCGGTTTCAAGGGGGGGTAGGAAGTCAAACCCGGCTTCTGCTTCAGGCTCCATTAACACATCTGGCATATCATCATCTTCAAAGTCTGCATATGATTGAGTATGACGCCCTTAAGCGAGAGTCTTACGTTCACATGAAAGAGCACGACAAAGGCTATGCAATTGTGTACTCATAGTGTAGAAGAACTACAGTAATTTATGTAATTCGACTAGTTATAGTAATCGAAATGAATATAATAGAAATGATATCTAATCGTAAGATAAGATAAGATAAGAGTCGCGATGCGACAAAAGTTAAGTCAAGGAAATCAGGCAAGATGGGGAGGAGGCGTTACACCCTCCCCCACTAGATTAGTACCTAGGGTACTAATTGAACGATATGATGGGATAAATCCCCAGTAAGACGTATTACTGGGGGGACTATCCATCAGATTCATCCATCTGGGGAGACGTATCTCCAGATGATGAAGACGGTCCTGCGGGAGCAGGTCCAGATAAAGAATGAGCTGGAGCAGTGTTGTTTGTCATCAACAAAGTCGATGCAATAGATGAAGCCTGTGGCACAGGCACAGGCGGCAGGTTGAATACTTGCGGTGCCGTAGGCACCACCGTTGGAGTAAGCTGGACATCAGTGATGGCTGGCAGACGATTGTCTATTGTACCTGTAAGGGTACAATAGTGATCGTTGATCCCAGCAGGGAGATGAAG